CCTGTGTTCTCTCTTAAGGTGCTTTCTTTGAGTACAAGCTTTGGGATTACAACACTCAGAATTAGAGCAATGAATTATCACCTTCCTGCTTTATATCATGGAAAGAAAACCTACTTCTCAGAGTTGTTTTGGAAATAAAATTTTAAAATATGTTTATAGGGGCTGGGGAGATAGCTTGGCAGTCTAAGCACCTGCCTGGCAAGCGCAGGGACCTGAGTTTGATCCCAGGTACTGTGTGCAGTGCAGGCCCTGGAACCCTGGGTGTGCTGCACCCAAAACCAGGTGCAGTGGTACACACTGTAATCCCAGCACTAAGGGAGACTGAGGCAGGAGAATCCCTAGGAGCCCAAGCTGCATAATGAGACCCTGTACCAAATAAATAAATAAATAAATAAATACATAAAACTTTTGCAAAATGTGTATATATATATATATATATATATATATACACATTTCTAGGCATACAGTATAGGGAATTCTATACATACTGGTTTTTTACTCTCTGTATTAATCTTTCTCCCCTGATCATTTCCATGTTTCGATTGATTTGATTTTTGTTTTTGCTTTTTGAGACAGGGTTTTGCTAGGTGGTTTAAGCTGGCCTCAAACTCTCAGTGCTCCTCCTGCCTCAGCCTCCCAAGTGCTAGGATCACAGGAATGCGCCACCACACCCAGCATCTTTGTTTTGCTTTCTGCCTGTAAAACCTTAGTTCTTAAAGTGTGGTGCGGGAACCAGCAAAATGGAAATGCTGAAACTCAGACCCCGCCCAGAGCTATTCAATCAGAATCTGCTCTTAACAACATCCTTGGTATTTCATACACAATAAAGTGCAAGAAGACTGCTGGAGAGTGAGGATTCCCTTGCTTTCGCCCCTCTTCCCAAGGGGAGAGGATGAAGGTTGCCCTAGTCCCTGTCTACTGTGGGCAGTGCTGCTCTCCGGACTATTTGCTTTGTTATCTTCCCGGGGTTATCTTGCCTTCACTTGAGCTAGGTCAACCTATTAGTGCAAGATCAAGTGGGAATTGTACAAGCAGATTCAAACTCAAGACTTTTGCCCTGATGAGCACTGTCCTTCTCCACAACCAGCTGAGCCTACTGCATTTTATGGCTGTAAAAGAAGATAGACATAGAGAAACAAACAAAAAATCAAAACAAAACAAAACAAAAACAAGAAAATTAAACATTAAAGGTGACCTTGGCCTTCAGTGAAATCAGTAGAGGTCTGCAACCTTGATGGCTGATTCCAACTGTCCCCAATTCTTTCTCAGGCTTCTTGCCATTTATTTTATTTATTTAGTTTTGATACAATGTCTCTATCTACACAGTTCCGACTCCTGTCTCAGCCTCCCCAGACTGGGATTACAGGCGTGTGCCACTACACCTGGTTCCGGCATGCATTACTGGGGATGGAACTCAGGACCTTGATCTTGCCAGGCAGGTGCTTATGCCACCAAGCTATCTCCCCAGCCATCTTTATTTGACGTTGACATACATTTTGATACCTAATAAATGATAGTAAAGTAGTCTACATACCTGAAATGGTTTAATTTTCAGCCTAGTTAGTGCTGACGTGACGTGTCAATTGATTATGGCATTAACCCCAGCAGGGGAGCATTTTGCTTTGTTAACAAGGGAATTTTTCTGCTGTTCTTTTTTTTTTTTTTTTTTTCTTCTGTATTTTAGGGAAGGGTCTACAGGGTGTTCAGCGTCTCACTACTAGATCTGACTTGTAGTGATTCTCCTGTTTACAGCTTCCCAAGTGCTGGGATTACAGGTGCTAGGGAAGGAACCCAGGGCCTCCCCTATGCGAGGCAGATTGCTCTCCCACAGAGTTACATTCCCAGTCCAAGTTTATTTATTTATTTATTTAAATGTTCTTTCTTTATTTATTTAATGTATTTAGGACACGGTCGACAGGGTCTCATCACATAGATTAGACTCGTAGTGATTCCTCTGTTTTCAACTTCCCAAGCCCTGAGATTACAGGCACGTGCCACCATACCCCGTCTCAACTGTCATCTCAGTGTGCTCCAGGGGCTGGGCCGGCACAGCACACAGGGGATCAAACCCCGGCCACTGCACTCTGCCTAAACAGGTGCTTTATTTGGCTGAGCTATCTGGCTGGCCCCTAAATTTATTTATTTATTTATTTATTTTTTGCGGAGCTGGGGATTGAACTCACACCCTTGCGCTTGCCAGGCAAGCGCTTATTCAACTGAGCTATTTCCCCGCCCCCCCAAACTTATTTTTAATGTAACAAAAGATATAAGACATCAAGATTAGTGCGTAAGAAAAATGTAATATTGCCTGTTGCTCAACAATGAAATTGATCATCACAGATTCCTTGCCTAAACCAGGAGAAACATTAATAAAATACAACCTGTTGATTGCAAGGAAGCTGAAAGCATTAAAAGAAATTTAATTTCACACTCCAGAAATATACATATTGGTGGGTTCTTTCCCCCTCAGCATTACAAAATTGCTTGGAAGGAAGAATAGAGAGAGAGAAGAAAGAACAGAGAAAAGAGACTCTTTCTCTCTCTCTCTCTCTCTCTCTCTCTCTCTCTCTCTCTCTCTCTGTCATCCATTATTACCACCAACAAAACACCTCCCTATGACTTTTGAAGCAAAAAGAAATGAACACATGGCCGGGGAGATGGCTCAGTGGAAGAAATGAACACAGATTTAGAAACTTCATTAACAAAACAATGACTTGCAGGCATTTAATGAGCCTGTAAAAATTAATTCAGTTGGAGGGCTGGGGGTCCAGCTTTATGGAGGAGGCCATCCTTAGCATGCTCAGGGGCCTGCATTCAATCTCAAGCACCAAAATAGAAAGTAATTAAATAAATGAAAATAAAAATTAACTGAAATGTTTGTTTCCTGTATGTTTTCTTATTTACCAGTGTTTGCACAGCAGCAAAATATATAAAATCTGATGAGTATTTATGTAAAACATACCTTGTACTCTTCTGTCATATTATTAAGCATTAAGAGGTACGCTAAAATCATGCTCTGACTTTTAATCTTACGTAGGAGTCTTGCTTAGAGGCAAACCTTTTAGCCTTATGACATTTGAAGCTAACTATCCTGAAGTGCCCATGGTGTATGCTGTGAATACAGGTCCACCTTTGGGCAGTCTGGGCCCTGCTGTGGAGCAATGTGCATCTCCCTGCTGCTCCCTGGAACCCACTGCCTTGGCATCCCATTTCTGCTCGCTTTTTTCTGCTTTAAAAACACATCCTTGGGCTGGGGAGATAGCTCCATGGTCTAAGCACCTGCCTGGAAAGGGCAAAGGCCAGGTTCAATCCTGGTACTACATGCCATACTGGTCCTGGAACCCTGGGTGCCGAACTGGCCACCGAAACCAGGCGTGGTGGTGCATACCTGTAATCCCAGCACTGGGGAGGCTGAGACAGGAAGATCACTATGAGTCTAAGCTGTGTAGCAAGACCCTGCACCAAATAAATAAACCCCCCAAAAACAATCACACCTTCTTGTCCAGGCCTGGGGGTGCACACCTGTAATCCCAGCATTCAGGATCCTGAGGGAGGAAGATTCCTGTGAGTACAAGTCCAGTCTGGACTACGTATGAGATCCTGTCTCACAACACAACACAGCACAACACTACATGACACAACATGTCACAACCTTTATCTTGTTTTGCTCTAAGACTCTCAGGTCTGTTTCTTATGCACTTAAGTTCTGCAAAAACCTAGGAAAACCTCTGATCTCATATGAATGTTTTCAGCTCAAAAATATTCCCTGGACAAGAACTACAAAGGGCTTTCCTTCTCACTTCAGATCAGAGGAAAAGAAAATAGAATTGGGTAAAGCAGAATTTTAAAAAATACCTTCCAAGGGGCTGGGGAGATGACTCAGTGGAATAAGTGCTTCCCTGGCAAGCACAAGGGCCTGAGTTCAATCCCCGGTTTGGCAAAAAAACAAAACAAAACAAAACAAAACAAAAAACCAAAATCAAAAACCTTCCTGATATAGTTCTGTATGAGACCCTTAAAGAGATTTTTCAATATGGGGTTTGATAAAGACAACACAGGCACTGTGAAATGAAATCTCTATGCACTTTGCTATAAACTACAGCAAAGCTAAAGATACAGTTCTGATGTCTGTGCCAGATGGCCCCTGCAGCTGGAAGGAAGTGGTAGTGGTTTAGGTCGCATCTGGGTTCTGTTCCCCTAGGTGCTGTATTTTTACTTAGTATCAGTCAAACTATGATAACCCCAACTTCCTTTCGTTCACTCCTTTCTCTCTCATCTTGCTCTTGTTTTCTTCCTATCAGCTCCTAGTTTTTTAAAATCTCTCCTTTGGAACTATACAAAGCAAATCTATCCTCTCCTACAATTAGTTGGACATAATTAGTATCCACCTGTATTTGACTAAGATAAGAGAATCACTATATTAAAGCTTATACACTCCTTTGAGCTTGTTTATTTGTTTATTGTTGGTGGGATCGAACCTAAGGCCAAGTGCACTGAGGCAAGGGCACTGCTACTGAGCCCTTGCTCTGTTCCAAACCCAAGCGTTCTCTAGTCTGTATAGTACAACAGTAGCTAACATCTATTGAGTGTCTACTATGTGCCAGGCGCTCTGTATATACCATTTAAAATCCTTAATGAGTTAATGATAGTTGTGCATGTGTGCATGAACAACTCTTCTAGGCTATGATAAACACAGGTAAAAGACATGCAATCAATGTTAATTGTTACTACTGTAAAGATTTGGAGGACCTTTGACTCAACCTCAATGTTCAGTACTTACTCTTTTTTCCTCTTTGCATTCACCTTGATAGAATTAACCCAAGGAAACCTTTTGGCTCCTGATGAACTATTTCTTTCAAATTTATATTGATCATAAACTTTGGTCCTTAAAACTAAAGACTGCTCAAAGATCAAGGGTGATGGTCTGTGGTTTTCAAAAGTTTCAGGTTAATCTGGGACAGGCTTTCTTTGCACATCTTTGAGGTATATTTCTTCCACAGAAGAAACACTGCTGAATAAGAAGAATCATACCCAAATTTGAGTGTCAGCTTTAATGGAAGACCACCAAAAATACAACTCTGCTTTGAGTGTCACATATTAAAATTTATCTTGAGCTGGGTGTGGTGGTGCATGCCTGTAATTCTACCACTTGGAGGCTGAGGCAAGAGGATGACTGGTAAATTCGAGGCTGGCTTGGGCTATGTAGTGAGTTTAAGGAGAGCCTGAGATACAGGGTGAGTCTCTGTCTCTGTCTCTGTGTCTGTCTGTCTGTCTGTTTCTTGCTCTCTCATGCATGTGTACACGTGTCCCCCCCCATTTTATCTTGCAGCCACTGCCACTTTTCTCATCTCAATTAAAGGGAAAGAGAGTCAATACCCTGGATCTGGTGATTTGCCATTGGCCTGAAAACTCACATACAAAGGCGGTTTCTGTTTGGGGAATACACTTTGATTTTTTTTTTTTTTTTTCCTGGAACCGGGTATTGAACTCAGGCCCTTGTGCTTGCCAGGAAAGCACTTATTCTATTGAGCTATCTCCCCAACTCCAAGGGAATACACTTTGGTAAACAGGCATTTGGACTTTCTAATTGGTCGTGTAGCATGTGTATTTGAACTCAGCATTGCTTTTCTGCCCCTAAAGTGTTCATTTTGACATTTGGACCAGTTTCCTTGGGCTCATACTTCTTTGACTTGGGAAGGACTTGGAGCTGGCGTAGGTAGTTAGAGGTGCTCTGCTCAGGGTTGTTCCTTTGAAGAAGAAAGGTGTTCTGGAACAAACAGTTCTTGGTTGAGTTTAGGGGCTTTGGTAAGAAGCCTGTTGGAAGGAGGACTGGAGATCCATTCCAGATACACCCACAAGTAGTGTGTGGAGCTGGTTTTGCTCTGAATGTGATGGTGTCAATTCCACAATTCCTTTTCTGTTTTTGTCTTCAGCACCTTTCTTGTAACTGGAATTTCACACAGAGGTAAATGTCCTTCCTGAGCACACAGAGTCACTGGTTATCAGCTGTGTCACAAGACATCAGGGTCAAAAGCAGAGGTTAGTTTTCCTGGGGCTAAGGGAATTTAAGCACTAAGTCCCTAGCACACAGTCCTTTCCTAGGTCCTGAGAAGGCTTGAGCAATGTATTTGTATTGTTAAAAGGTAAAGGTGCTTTATTATTTATTTTTAGTGGGATGGGGCCCAAGGTGTTGTGCACCCCCCCAGTGAAGTGATACAATTTTAATTTATTTTTTATTTAGTTATGTATGTTGCGGTACTGGGGATTGAACTCAGGATCTTGTGCTTGCCAGGCAAGCACTTATTCTACTGAGCTATCTCCCTGGCCCCTTGATACAATTTTTAAAAGGTAAAATTATGACTTCATGAAAATAAAATGGGGCTGGAGAGATGGCTCAGTGGTCTAAAGCACCTACTTGGAACAAGCTTGGCAAAACACAGGGACCGCGGTTTGATCCCCCAGCACCACATGCCAGCCAGCCGCGCCCCCTGGTGGGCTGAGCTGGCCACACACACACACACACACACACACACACACACACACTAAATAAATGTTAAAAGAAAAATGAACACATATCAAATATTTTATTTCATTATTCATTAATGAAGGAACCAATGAAAGGCTACCAGTAGTTCAAAAGAGACTTCAAACTACATATAATATACAAACTATATATAAATACCTTCATACCACACCTATATGTGTATGTCTTTGCTGAGATACTCTTGCATGTAGACCCAAATAGTCAAGAATCCACATAGCAACAATCAATTGTATTCTATAAAATAACATGCTTCTTTCTTATGAATAGTGATCATTTAAATTGTCATATGTTTTTCTGTAAATTCCACAATTATGAAAGAGATCAGGCAATGAAAGGCACAGACTCTTGCAGAATCAACCAAGTAAGGTACGCTAGGTTAGATATTTAGTACTTCTTGTGGTTGTTGCTACTTCTCATTTTATTTATTCCTTTATTTTTTGAAAGCATCAAAAAGTGAATTTATTTAACCATACTCAGCTGATAATACAGCAAGTGGGTGAATAACTCATGCTATAGCATGCTGAATGAACTGAAAACAAAAAGTTGTTTGGAAGGAGGCAAAGGAACTTTGTCTTGCAAGAATCAGAATCAAGGGACTCCACAATCAGCTGGCATCTGTTCAATGTTGTATCTGTGATTAGAAATGTACATGATAGGAGCTGCAGCGATCTTCTGCATTCTCCGTTTAAGGTCCTGGTCAACCGTGGTCACAATGTAACACTTGCGCTGAGTGACTCTCTGCATTAAGCGGTTGTCTGCATAGGTCCCTTTATGTGTGCAAGGTAATTGTTCAAACCGGGATCCTTGGCTATCCTTAGGGCCACTTAATACTTCTGTCCCAATTTCTCAGTTTCCACCATTACACAGTCCGTTATACAAGGACACACTTGGCATACAGACAGTCCAACATTGATTGTACCAAGTCCAATTTGGCTTTGATGGAAAAGTTGATAAAACTGGTATCAACCAGGATATGATAAGGTGGGCTAAGCTGTGTATTATACTGGAAGAATAAGCAAGAAGGATGTTGGGGGACTTCTCTTTCCTTTAGAGCACTGGGATCTTTCTTTTCTTTCTTTTTAGGTTTTAGTCTATCCTTTTCTTTGGTCTCTCATCTCTGAGACTAAGCATTCATTTCATGGTCTCATTCTTTCTTGTTTTCTTTGTTTCCCCATGTTCACGCCGCTGTCCTGTTTCTTCTGGAATCATCTCTGTTCATTTTAAAGTTGTTCAGAGTTTTTCTTATCTATGTGTTCATGTTTTTTGAAATAATAGCACTATATTTTATCCACAAATGATAAATTTAACTGTAATTTAACTTTATTTTATGTATTTATTTTTGCTATTTAAAAATTTAATTAAGTCCATTGGTACAATGTAAGTGTACATAATGATCATATTCTTTTTTTTATGTATTTGGCACAGGGTCTACAGGGTCTACAGGGTCTACGAGATCTCACTATGTAGATCAGACGCAGTGACTCTCCTGTCTTCAGCCTCCCAAGCTCTGGGATTACAGGCACTGGCCACTGCACCCAGTCTCCATCGCCAGCTCAGCCTGCCCCGGGGGCAGGGCCAGCACAGCACAGTGTGCTGTGCCTAAGAAGACGCTTAGTCAGCTGAGCTATCTGGCTGGCCCAATCATATTCATTATAGGGCAACCTAACTTTCTGACTTCCTCTTGATAGCACTTTTCTTCGTGGCCTTAGAATGGCCATGAATGTTTTGGAGTCCAGCTAAATTGAGCTGGAATATACTTAGTGGTGATTTCAGTAAGGTGTATTTACATAATTCAGTTACTCCCTTGGGAAAAGCAAATGCTGGCTATTCCAACACAGGAAATGAGATGGCTTCCAAAAATAGGTCTTTTATTTCTGTGCCAATTTACGTGTCATTCTTCACCTGGAGAGCAAGGTGAAGATTCTTATCAAGAGAGCAAGGCCAGATTCTTATCATGATCTGCAGGTATCCCACGGCTCCTAGAGGCAGAGGCAGTAGGTAGTGGGGAGACAAAATGGTTTAATATATTAGAAAGCATCAAGGTGTGGTGGCACACATGCCCATAATCCAGCACTAGAGAGCCTGAGGCAGGAGGATCTTTGTGAACTTGAGACCAGCCGGGGCTACAAAGTGAGCCCAAGGTGAGCCTGAACTGCACAGTGAGAACTTGTCTCAAAAAAAAAGAAAAGAAAGAAAAAATATATATATATGCATATACATATATATGGCAGAATCTAGTTAGTTGAAAAATTTTCCAAATCCTATATATCATAAATTAAAAAAAATTTTTTTTGATACTGGGACTTGAACTCAGGACCTTACTCTTGCCAGGAAGACGCTGTGCCACTGAGCTATATCTCTAGCCCATAAATTTGAAAAATTTGATGGTAGTGCTTTTCTGAAATTGGACAACATCCTAAATATTTATATGACATGAAATCTGCTGTCAAGCTGAAATAAATTTTGAAATATAGCAGTAATAGAAAACAAAAACCCAAAATGCAGAACTGTTTCTCTAATTTCTATGTGGAAAATACTACAAAATATCTTTCCAATGAAAAACTGATTAAAGAATAGCTACAAATATGTAGCTCACAAGAACTGTATTACAAAGGGCCGGCCAAATAGCTCAGCAGATTAAAGTGCCTGCTTAGGCAGATGCAGGGGCTGTGAGTTCCATTCCCGGGGCCTGCCGTGCTGGGGGCGGGGCGTGCTGAGATGGTGATTGAGACTGGGTGTGTCAGCCTGTGCCTGCAATCCCAGCATTTGGGAGGCTGTAAACAGGATCACTAGGAGTCCAATCTACACAGTGAGACCCTGTAGATCCTGTCCTAAAATTTAAAAAAAAGGCAAGTACTGTATTACAAAGTGATACTAGGCAGCTAATTATACAAAATATGGTTGCTCTTTGGATTGTGTCATATGTGTGTCATATATCACCTTTCCAAAATTTATAATTGATTTATTTTCTCCTAAAAAAATTATATTAATGCTGACTTTTTCTAGACTTTCAGTTGTGTTCATAACCTGACAGTGGACACTGTCTCCCACATCTGTCTGACTCTGCAGCTTAGAGCCAATAAATGTATTTCAAGTGAATTAAAGTATTGCAATGTGGAATGTTAGTGGACCAAAAAGAAGCTGGGCTAAGCTCGGGTTTGGAAGATGGATAGGATTTGGACAGGTGGTAAGGACAGTGCCATTAGCAAAGGTGCAAAGATCCAAAGAAGGGCCGGGGAAATGGTTCAGTAGAATAAGCACTTCCCTGGCAAGCGCAAGGGCCTGAGTTCAATCCCCTGTTCCTCAAAAAAAAAAAAAAAAGAACCAAAGACCATGAAAGAGAGCACATGAGCATGTTGGGTCCAGTGGGAAATTTGCATTGAGTGAGGGATAAGAGACGAGGAAAAGAGGAAGTGTGGGGCCACAGTAAGGTACAAGGATCTTGAATATCGGACTAAGGAAATGTAATTTTATCATACAGTCATAGGCGAGTGTACTGGACATCTGTTGCCTTTGCCTACCCGGAGCACAAGCGCTCTTATGAAAATAGCATCCTTATGTTCTACAGCAACCACCTTTCCCTACTCCCAGTCCATGTAGTTTGGGAAGAGTCACATCATTTTCCCGGTTCTGGGAATGAGCTCTGATCTCAAGTCTTGCAAGTTAG